GCAGCCATTTATGAAAGTGGTCTATATTATATTATTACTCACCCTCAGGCTCTCAGGGGTCAAAGGGTGGAAAAGGAGTTTACCACGCTAACACGTCTCCCGCAGAGTGACCAAGGGAAGGGGTTTTGACAAACCCGCTGTATTATCCTAAGGCTTCGTATATACAGGTAACCTTTGCATGTGTTTTATTTTCTTGACAGAAATGGGTAGACGGCGGACTTAGTGATAATTTACCAAGGCTTCCGTTTGGCCGAACTATACGAGTATCTCCATTCAGTGGTAATGGTAATGATATCTGCCCACAAGACGAGTCTCGTGGTTTTACTGATGTCACTTTCCATAATATGAATGTCTACGTAAATAGAGAGAATCTTCAAAGGGAGCTGCAGATATTTATTCCTCCCAAGAAAGATGGTATTGAGAGTTTAGTGCAGTTAGGTTTTAATGACACCCTGAGATTTCTGCGAAAAGAGAACTTGTGTAATTATTCAGTAAAACCACGTTCTTCAGCACTTCCCATGAAAAATATTCAAGAATAGTGGCACATTCTAGTTGAAATAATTGACTGTCACTTTTCCCGTCATTTTATTTGTACGTGACCTTCGAGATGGAAATTCACTTGAATATATTAATTTCTAGTAAAGATAGTATTTTTCAATGACGATCAGGTTGGTGGTAATCTGCGAAACCTATTCTTATGTGGAATATTGCGTACATGTAACAACAAAAGTATTATATTATTATTATTTTATGACTTTAAATAATGACATTGGCTTAATCCTTCTATCGTTCCCAAGTCCCATGTCATTCTTCCTACGTTTGTAGATGTGGTCATAGAGATTAGGGCATATTTGTATGGCTGCAATTTGGAAAGGATGCATGCAAAAAATTTGATGATTATTTGTTTAACCTTTTCTAAGAGGAGTTGTTGATTATCCGCTTTACACACAGCATTAGAAAATGTCGAAACTATAAGAGTTAGCGAAATTAAGCCTTGACGAGAGTCAGGTGTGGTTGGAACTTCTCGGAAGCAGATGTGCATGTACAGTATTTTATGACTTAGGCAAGAACAGTGTGTTAGTATGAAAATTAAATCATATATATTTATTACTAGTTTTTATATTTTAATCTATGGTTTTACAGTTAGTTCCTTGGATAGGTTTATAGTGACAAGTAAATCTGAATTTTTGGTGTAATGATCAGTGTAACTTTGTTGTTTATTATTATGGAATTAACATGAAAATTAAAATGTTAGGAGTTGAAGATGTTTACCTCCGGGTGAAGACTAATACAACTATTTCAGTCTTTGGGCAGATCATCAGTTACCGCTGAATGGAGCTTTTGCTTCTAAAGGCCTCAGATTTCGTGAAACTAAAGCTAGAATATATCTTGATGTCTTACCATTCGTTTATTTCTTGTCTCTGCGCGCTGACACACTTTTCAGTGCGCCACTAGACTCGGCCCATAGAGGTCTTCGAAACCAGTCGGGGCCCTTTTGTTGTGTGCATGGATAAGATATTTTACCCTCACATATCCTCTCTCCAGCCAGGAGTGTAAACAGATGTCAAATAGCGATCAAGGACACTTGAAGACCTGCAAGGGCAACCTGTGCTGGAGAAGTATTCCATCCTGCAAGAATTGTAAAACTTTCATTTCATTCGCCCCTGAAATCGTTTAACCCCAAAGAGTGACTACCATGAAATTTCTCCTCACCACATCGCTCTCGAATCACACACTGAATAAGGTCACAGAATAAAGGAAATGATCACCAACTATATAGGCTCTTGATTGTTAAAAAAATTCTCCTTGTCAGCGCCTTAGGAAATATATAGAGAACAGTATGGAGAATATGCATACTGAAGTTATATTTTAGAGTGTAAACGTTAATAAAAGAAAAATCGGTCAACGCTGTTGTTAGATGAGCGACTAGGCTCGTGCCCAGACTCTACATATTTTTTTACGTTTCTTAGGCCTGGTATGACGGTGGTTTCACTGATAACCAGCCTGTCCCTCCAACGGGGTCGACCATCAGAGTATCACCATTTGGCGGGAACAGCGAGATCTGTCCTCGAGATGAATCGTACGTCTTTTCTGAACTAAACTGGAGGCAAATGCACGTGTATGTTAACAAAGAAAACATCAGCAGAGGGAGACACGTCTTGTACCCACCCAGGAAACAACTCTTGACTAAACTATTTGCAAATGGCAACGATGATGCCTTACAGTTTGTCAAGAATAATCGCTTGACTTGATGCAATCTGATGTGTTATGATGCCAGTTGATTATAGTACTTTTCAAGTGAGTGTCGAAAACCAAAACCAGTTATAACAGCGACCAATCAGAGGAAAGATTGACATCATCAGCAGCCAATGAGGACTCAAAGTGAAAACAAACAAAGTTAATAAAGCGTGGGAAAACGTGACCTAACTTGTGTGTAGTGTTGCATCTGACTGATTCAGAGAGTGATGGTGCGAGTTTTATGGACCAATCACCAAGCGAAGTCACGCAAAACCAAAACAATTCCGGATTACATTCACCATCCCATTGATTGGAAATTGCTCTAATGTTAACCTTAATATGGAGTTAAGTGTCATGAGTGATCATGGTATTAACGATTAATTTTCCGAATTTCTCGTCCTTGAATGCGGTTACAGGGGAATGCAAAGAGAACAGTCATTACCCATGTAATGCGTTTGCATGTACTCTCCCTTTGACAGCTCCTCAAATGAGTGGTTTATCGAGTGTTTTTTTGTTTTGTTTTGTTTTGTTTTTTTTATCGTGTATTTGAATGGCTGTATGTGTCCAAGTAAAAACTTGAAATGTAAAGAATAAGCTATGTGTCATGAACCATTTCAAAACACAAATGATGTGTGTGTGCTTCTTATCTTTGATGCATTATATTTGGCATGCGAAATAAAAATCGACCATCTTCGACATAGGCCATTTCCTCTACGGAGATGGCGACTGAAAATGATCGATATCAAAGTCCTAAATGTTCAGGCTATGTGAGGTGTGACGGAGCATAATCTATAGCACCAAGCATTTCCTTTTCTTTGCATCTTCCTCACCCTTCACAACTTGGCCACCTTTTCTGATTCATATGGTAGCTCTAATGATATCTCGCGTAGATGCAAACACCCGGTCCATTTATTGGCAATTCAGTTGCAACAACACAATTTACCAAAAGTGTTGAATGAATCGATCAAACATGCTCGTTTATTTCTTTCTTCCTCTTTTCGTTGTCTTTTTCTCCCAATGAACAGCGTTTTTCAAGATCTTTTCAAAGTGGCGTCGAAACCAGAGAAAAATTAACAGCTCCTTTCTGTTTACACAGTTTCTTCTTTAGTAGAAAGGCCGTAAGATTTTTACCAACAAACCAAAAGTCATTATCGCGTAGATTACAAAGGCCAGTGATGAAATATTAAACCTTTACTGTTCTGAGGTATTAGGCCGTAACACCGCCATGGGCAACAACTTAAAATTTTCTCGGTTAACTGAGGCAATATTATTCAAAATAATATCTCTAGGACAGAAGCCTTCCACGATTATCTTACTTTTAGATAATTCCCTCAAGGGAACCAAACAGGTGACACTATTTGTTATTACTTGAGGATGGTATGCGGTGGAAATTTCGTTTTCCAGTATTTACTAGTACGGTTTACCGATTAAATGAAGTGTACCTACATAACTTTACAAGCTAAAAACTACTAACTTCATAAACTTTTATTTACGCACTTGCTCTACGATTTCAGGTTTTCTGCAGCTTGATCCAAATACAAGTTTTGAACATTCTGTTTTTGTCTTGCTATGCTTTTTTTTACCCTTTTTTTTAGCTTTCCGTTTCATCTGTTCACACAGTAATGCAAACATTTCACAAAACAATGTATTGATTTTACTTTCTGCCTCTCAGTTGTATTCTTTTCATTTGAACGAAATTTCTATTCAGGTGATTGTACCTATCTCAGATAAGCACAGCACTTTATTTCCTGTCACAAGCACGAGAGCAATTATCAATGCTACCCAATTAGTCATAAAATATATTTTTTCCCCACTCACTTTTCGTGGCTCATAATCAGGTTGAGACAGCATGCGCACTTCGGTAATTTCGCGGTGGTAAAAGTAGTGCGCTCACTTTGCAACGTGAATTAGAGTTTGAATAACCAAAGAGGAGATGGGTATTAGTGCTAATGCTTTCCCTTTTTGTCTGTGTTTTTTGGCTCAAAGATTGGGGTCTTTTTTTGTTTTTAATTTTAAGCTTGCTAAACGTTGCAATGAGTTCGGTACTGTCAACAAATCAGTTTTACTTTCCAAATGTGTTTTTTAAAGCTTATTCTCTTAAGAAAGCAAATATCAATTTTCTTTTTTAGTCCATATATATCTTATTAGACGTTTTGTTGTGTAGTATCGCTGAGTATTTTACGAGCCCGTAGGAGTACAAATATCGCGTGATATTTGTACTCGTCTTGCGCGTTATTTGTACTCTACGAAGCACAGTTGGATGATAAAATAACTTATTTTCTTTTCTTTCAATGTGGCAACGATTGAGAAAGTCGACCGGTTCGCAAAACAATTGTGTTCAAATGTTGATTTAGAGAATGCTCAAACGTTGTGCCTTCAAACTTTTAATGCTTATCTGAGTAAGAAACCTGATAATGTTTATATTTGTCATCATCTGTTTTGACTTCCCACCTGCACGATAACAGAGTAATCACAAGGAGGTAAGAGATGGTATATCATAAACAAACATACTTGGGAGTCGTAAGGCATTAAATTGTTTTCAGAGGTAATGTATTATTTGTACACAAGTTTATTACATTGATGCATTTAAAAGTGTGCTGTAAGTGAGGTGTAAAAGCCATTCATTCAAAACTGTAGGAGCTTTCAGACCCCGGTGTGGCCTTCAACTTTCAAAAATCATCTAGAAGGAATCAGTTACACTTTAAAAAAAATTATGACTACACATTCCCACAACAATTCTTCCAGTTCGCTAAACGCGACTAATTTGGGGGAACTGAGCATTTGTCAAAATGAACTTAGTCAGGCAGAAGGGATTACTTTCACTGTTCTGTCTCTCACGTGTGGCGTCCTTGCAGTTGGAGGGAACTTTGCCCTCATTGTAGCTCTCTACCGCACATCAACGGTTGGCCTTCGTGTAAATAACTACTTCATTGGTTCGCTAGCATTCGCCGACTTCTTGATCGGTCTTACCATGACACCGCTGTATATTTGTTACGCCCTCGCCACTTATGTTGATTTGTGGGTAGTAAAGCTCGAATCCTTTCTTTGGATTGTGACAGTGACGGCCACCACGTACAGCTTAATCGCGGTGAGTTTGGATAGGCTGATTTCAGTCCTGTATCCTCTTCGTTATCATCAATTGATGACTGAGAAACGCTGTCGTTCCGCCATCGCCTTGATTTGGTTTGGATCCTTTATTTTTGGATTTCCAAGGCTTGTTATTGATGACATTAATAAGTTAAGAAGGTTTTGGATCTCTTGTTCTGTTTCCACAGTAGTCATTCCTCTGATAATACTGTGCTTGTGTTACGGTAGAATATATTCGGTTGTACACAAACAGAATCGAACGGTGGCCCCCTCCGAGTTGTCGACGGCAGGTGTAAGAAACAAAAAGGCAGTTAAAACAATTGGAATAATTGTCAGTCTGTTCATCATAACATTTACTCCAAGCGCTGTTGTGTATTTTTTGCTTTTGTTCGAAAAAGATTTTTGCCAACAAATGATTTTAAATCACGCGTGGATTTGGGTGGCGTTTGTATCATTCACCCATTCTGCTTTCAATCCTTGGGTTTATGGACTTAGATATCCAGAACTCCGAAACTCCTTAAAGCACTCTTTCGTGAATAGTAATATTTAGCTGACAATCATGAATTATAATGGTCCTTGGGTCTATATGCAAATACAGTACAAAGTAATCTTAATCAGTAATGGTTTCATTGCATTAAAATAATCAAAAGATGTCCATTTGTTGATACGATACTAAAATATAAACCCATCTATTTTGAATATCCCCCCAGCGTGAAGACATAACTGTCACCATAAACGGATAAATACTCTTCTAACAAGAACTGTTGTGTTGCACAAACTAAGTAAGATCATTATAAGTTGCTCTTTAATTAGGCACTTGCAGATTCTATTTTGTTTCATTGTAATAAACGTCTCGTAAATTTCTAGTATGGTGTACTTCTTAAAACAACTGTCACTTTGATTGCAACGAAATTTTTTTCAATTGAGTTGCCGGAAAATGTAAACCGGCCACCATAAGGGGTTTCTGTAAAGATGAAGTTCCGTGCGTTCAGCCAGAGCGTCAAAGCCCCTCAATTTATTCTATAAATTCAGTTGATAAAACCAAATTATCTCGCAGTCTCCTCCACCGACCAAGCACCACCGATCCTTCAGAAAATTGCACACTTTCTTTCATTAGATATATTTTTTTTAACTCATGAACACGGATAGAAAATGAATTATTTTAGGTAAAGAAAAGGAGCCGTGTTTCCCTTAAGTAAAACTTGCTGTTACCTAATTTTCACGTTTAAGAGGATTTTCCTTCTCTCGTTAATAAGATCTTAAGTAGCATTATGGATATTTGCATGATCAGGGAGTTTAGAAACAGCAAGATTTCAACATATATAAGGGGTGTCTAACTATATGCTGTTGTACCGAAGCCAAAAACCGACAAGGAGGTCGCCGAACAGTATTATAACATAACCAACGTAAAGCGCGCGCTCTGATTGGTCAATTTAGCGTCCCCCATTTGCCCATGGGTGTACGCTGCAGACGAGAGCATATGCAAAGACTATTTTTCCACGCGCGCTTGTTTTTTCTGGTCACGTAAGATTTGTTAAATAAAAGGGAACTCTTTAGCTACAATGTATCAATGTTATGTTATAAAACATAACATTGAAAAAGAAGCGTAAGAGTCGCTCGAGGCGATAGCCGAGAGCGACTCTAGCTTCTTGAGTGCTTAGCAAACCTCCCAAGTGCATCCATAACTCAATAGTGTACGCTGTGGTGTTTACCATTTGTTAATTGAAGCCATCTGATGAATGCACAACAGTCTCAGGCCCTATCCAGTAAATGGTTTGAACCCGGGGATAACATGTGTAAGTGTAAAGCGATCGTCCGGATAAGAGAAGTCCTGAGAACGACTGTTGTCGGTGGTGTTGACTGACGTTTCGACACCCTAAGCAGAGGTCATCATCAGAATCAAGTGAATAGTTGTTATCAGTCGAATGTTTTATCTGGTGAGTGGCAGGACTAAATTCCTATTTGCACCCTTGCGTGCTTTGCAATGCGATGTAGGGAATGAAGAAACTAAACTATGATACAACTCTGGTGAGATTCCATGTTGTATTTGGAAAATGCTTTGCACAAAGATCCTAATGCAATTCATTCTTGTCTTTATTAGGCTACACCCACCTGATATCCAGTGCTGAAGTATGCTTTTCTCCCCTGCAGGATTTATTTGAGAATTACATGAGCTGATATAAGAAGATTTACATCATATTCATTCGTAATTGGATAGCTAGCGACACTTTCATGGAAATGTTTTCATTTATGCTTAGGATATTGCTGAACAATGGAAAGAGGTTTGAGATCATAAACTTACCGGCGTTATGAATTTGCAAACAGTTGCGGAAATGTAATTTTATAGAGTGAAATTAAAAACACGCAAAAACAATTTTGCAAGTGTTATTATTATTGCTGATCATTATTAGCGAGTGAAATGAAGTTGTCATCAGACGCCATACAGCAGCCTAAGGTGTTTCTAATTTTCGGGATCTCTTGATATTTCGCTTGATAGGAAATTTTCTGAAGAAATTCGGTGAAAAGTTCTGACCGTCCGGGCATTCAGTTCTTTCAGGACCTTGCCTGGCTGTAGGCCAGTTAGTGACAGCAGCATATTTTCAATGACGCAGTTATCACCATCTAAATTAATCAAGAATACAGAAATGACAGTCTCTTTCCAAAAATGCTTCCTGAAACTGTCTCAGTTGACTAAGTGCACAATTGACACATACATTAATTTCTTATCGACGCTGAAACTTAACCTTTCTGACTGAGGTGTACGCGTTTGTTCTTCAGACTATGACAAAAGTATTTTTATTAAAAGATCAGTATTTTTCGATGACTGGATTTCCCCGTCTATGAAAATTATGAAAGAAGGTAACATTTAAGCGTACTTAACCAAAAGCTTCATAGCAAACGTCCAGTACATACTGGTTACTGCCAGATCTTGCTACTGCCAGATCTTCAACCTCTGATCACAGCCGTTTACTTTGGCTCTATGCAACAAACGAGGACTCGTTCTGACTGACATTAGGAAAATCTGACATCTTGTCAGCGTCAATCTTTGAAAATGACACCAGGTTCAGATATGGCGGAAACATCAGTTATGAATAACAGCCTTTGCCAGAACCCCAATGTTACTGACCGCGCAGTGATGAGGAAAATGGCTTCTTTTTCACCTAAAAGCTTTGCACTTTTTGTCAAATAATTTTTTAAAACATTTTCTTAACTCTTCATGTCTGAAACCATAAACCCACGGATTGAAAGCAGAGTGGTAGAACGATACCAGCGCGACCCACAGCCATGAGTTATTGAGTTCAAACTCCTTGCAGATATCATCCTCAAATAGGAGCATAAAATAAACAACAGCACTTGGCGTGAAAGTCACAATAAAGAGACAAACTATTATTCCGATGGTTACTGCAGCCTTTTTGTTAACGAAACCTTCCCTCGAGTCGTTAGGATTGTTGATGAGATCACCATGTTTTTCCCTAACTATGGTATAAATTCGTCCATAGCTATAGCACATGATGAGCAAAGGAACTGCAACAGTTGCGATAGAGCAAGTAATCCATAATTTTTCTAGTTTTTGGAAGTCATTAATGAATAGTCTTGGTGAACCAAATATGACAGATCCCAACCAAATGAGTGCGATGATCACAGCGCAACGTTTCTTAGTTATAATCTCATGATAACGCAGTGGGTAAATAACCGATATCAGCCGGTCAATACTCACAGCACTTAAGCTGTGCGTTGTGGCTGAAGTGGTCACAATCCAAAGAAAGCCTTCGAGCTTGACGAGCCATGGCGGTTCAAAAGCGACACCATAGCATATGTATAACGGTGTAATCATTAATCCGATTATCAGATCAGCCATGGCTAACGAGACAACAAAAATGTTATTCATCTTTTCACGGACCGTTCCACAATAACGAAAAATGACCAGCAGTGTCAAATTTCCTCCTATGGCCAAAAGTCCGCAGATGGAGCACAGAAAGACGAAGATGATCGACTGAAGCTCGCCCAAGCCATAGAAACATTTCTTGGACTCGCAATCTTGACAATGATCATCAAGTCCACCCATGTCAGTTTATTTTTTTAGTATTGATAGCAAAATTCAGGGTTAGTTGTTATCAACCAAAGTTCAGCCTTCGATCTTGCAATATCCCATCAACAACGTGATCTCAAATGCCACCTATATGCATGCCTGACAACGAAATAAAGCGCAGTTCTTTCAGCACCCTTAAAAATGTTAAAATTTCAAATGAAAGAAAATCATTTCGGTCGCAGCTGCTAAAACAAAGCTGCACCACCACACTTTCATTCGAATTCTTAAGTCCCAAAGAAGCGAGGTAAACAAATCAGATTTATGAATACCCCATACCTTTCCATTTTTTAACCTCAGTATCAGCAAGTTAAACTGGCTGCCAAAAATTAAAGGTACTTAGATTTCTTCAATTTTGTTACTAAATAAATCTGAATCTTGATGCGAAGTCAAATTGAATTAATTAATACAAAGTAAACTTCTGTGTCATAACCCAAACATGACGAATTTGAGTTGCGTCCCGTTGTTTACTACAGAAGAAATTTAACAAGAGTGAATCGCAATCATTTATTATGTCTAAAATTTAAAGGCGTTAAGATTCCACACAGCTCTCGTAATTATAAAACTGACAGCCCGTAGCATTTCACGAACTTTGACTGAAGCCTGTCTTTGGTAGAGGACACATTTACTGCAGCTAATGTGGTAATTATTACTCGCAATTTTGTGAACCGATGACACCCTCGCGTCTCTGAATTTGAACAAGGTCCTATAACGAGATTTTTGCTTTGGATGTAGTCCGAAAACCACCCGCTGTACATGGAAAGACACGAATCTAATTCTAGAATTTCAACCAAAGTTCATCTTTTCTAGAGATTTCCAAGAATTCGACGAAAACGTGCACGACACGAGTAATTTTTTTCAGCGTAGTGACATACGTAAATAATGACAAATATCATTGCGTGGGGGAAGTCCAATATTTTGCGCTCAGCATATCCGAGTGTTAGCTTTTTCACACTCGAGTTCCCGAGTGATATGTGAACGGGATCATAGTTGAACGTAACGAGATAAAAGAAAAAAGGAGAGTAGGGAGAGAGGGAACAAAATATGGTGGTGAATGTTAGAATGCTAATTGAAACATAAAATGGAATGTGTATTAAAGAAGACGCACCTCGAGGAAAACGAAATAAAAAAGACAGAATAAAGGAAACGTTAGTGGTGAAAATATCAAAGGGGTTAACAAAGGAACGTAAACGGAAATATGTAATACAACGCTTCTGGAGAACATACCACAACGAGAGCCAAAACGACAGTATAAATGGACAGTTGCGATGAACGCATGATCGTAAATTCTTGTCAAGTGGCAAATTTATTGTTCGTCATTGTAGCCAGCGAAACCATCCACTACCCTTGAAGCATCTTGAACGGGCTTAAGATCATCAGTTACAAAAAAAAAACTACTTTTTTCGATTCATTACTTTCTTGCTATCGTTCTTTTATATACGACAACTTATTGACAAAGGGAACACCAGTCACGATGACAAAATGCTTCCTCATCTCACCGCTGGCACGATACAAAGACATTGAGAAGCAATTTTTTTTGCACCTCTAATCCTCCTGCTCAAATCCAAAGGAAATGTATAAAAATAGACTCGTTACTTTTCTCTTTTACAAACGTAAATATCTCCATCGTAACATAGAAAACTATGCAAAACATTGGGAATATTGTCTTTCCCCCACCAAAAATTACTACAGTCGACAACCCTTAACCTTCAGTCCTTTGGTTATAGACGAGAAATAAACTGCAAAACTAACAACTTTGCTGTTCTAATAGCCAACAGCTTATAACAATTTCAATGCACTTGCGAACATGCTTCCAACGATAAAACAGCGACGATTTACGTCCATTTAAGGTAGACAATATTTAAAATCGCATCATTATGTTATTCGCTTCCTCTTGAATCCGAATGGAGAGGTTCCATCCCCGTTTGGTGAACGGCATTTATCTCCAAAGAGGTGAGAGGTGAACCTTAGCGACCCCACTTTGGTTCTGACATGGTGGATGCTTCCTGATTTTTTCAGGTCATGTGAACGGATTCCACTCTAATGTTTAGGAGTCTTCTGAGGTTGTAGTTAATAGGTACAAGTTCCGCCATCGCCTCATGAGTGCTGCTATCCGATGGAGCGTGCTTCGGCACAACACAAAGAGGTCTATCGGCAATTTCGGCCATAAACTGAGACCAGGGCATTTCTCGTATGTCTAATCTTTTCGCCTTTTTTAACAGAGCCCCTCGGCTTATTCCAAGATGTTCTAAGACATCGGAGAGGAGGACGTAATTTCTTCGCCTAGCAAAGGGCAGAACAGATGGACGAAAAAGAGTCAGAGATACAGGTAAAATACTGTTTCGAAGTGTATGATGACAGTAACTTACCACAGAGTCTACCAGTATATATTTAAAGCAAAGTTAAGGAGGGGAGGTGCTAACCACCACACAAATTCACCGTGAACTTTCGCAGAGGGTATTTCATGTAGAGAACCTCTCTTTGCTCTTTCGTTTATTGTTGCTGTTTTTATTTATTTGTTTATTTTTTGACATTTGACAAATGTTCTGGCCGCTCCCAAACCTTTGTTCGTTGTCATTTTTTTTGTGTGTATAGGGCCAGACATTTGTACAAGAAACTGCTCCGTAATCATCCCTGCACTGACAGCCCTGGATTATAAAGCAATAATAATAATAATAATAATAATAATATTAATAATAATAATAATAATAATAACAATAATAATAATAATAATAATAGAAAAGTGGCGATGACGATAATGACACTCGAAATAATAATGTTGATAATATTAGTAATGATAACCTTTATTTAGCAATAATTTCCATAAAATCCTCCACAATACAAAATATTAACAGCGTAAAAAACGGTCCAAATAACCCACTTTCGGCTCACATCTACTCCTTTTTTTTAATGTCAGTGTCTGAAAAACTATAAATAACGGAGTCAAATCTGAACAGATTCGAAGTCTAATAATCTGATAAGTAAAAGCATATCTAAAACTACACAGAAAAGAGAAAGGTGAACGGCAAATCTAGAACCCTATATACAAGGCTGCTAAAAAGCATCAAACAATGTCAATGGCTCCCTCGCCAAATAATAATAATATAATAATAATAATAATAATAATAATATAATAATAATATCATAATAATATAATAATAATATAATAATAAAGGTCGGGAAATAATCAAACAAAAACAGCTCTTTCAGAGGTCTTAAATTCCGATAAAAGGAACAATAAAAAGAAAAGAAAAAGGCCAGTGTTTCTTAAAAACCAGTGCTTCCTTACCCGGTTGTTAATTCATCATTCATCATGAATGGTAGATTGTAGGTTGGAAGATGAGGCCTATCACTTAATTCAAACTCTCCATCTGGGACAGTTTCACTTCTTGGAACGCCCTCGAATATTCCAGAAGTGTGATCCAGGGACTCATCTGATATAAGTAGAAAAATAATAATGATAAAAATAAAAACAAGCTTTAAATATTATCGCTAAGTTTCAGTCAAGGACATCATAACCACAATTGTATCTTAGCACATTCTTCACGAAAAACGCATATTTTCAAGGTCGCACGAAATCCACTTCTGCCGAATTGTTCGCCCTTTAACTCTCACTCGTGAGTGACTAAGACAGATTTCCTCATTACAATACCAATCCGAGAAGTGATGAGAAAAAAAATATCTATTAGGGGATTACAAGTTGATCCAATCACAAATTCTCCAAACTAACGTCATAAGAATTGTATGGCAGACAGTAAGAAGAACTGCTCACGAGATCATGGAAGTGGAAGGATTATGAAGAAGGGCCCTTGTAACACCAAAAGCAAATTTTATTTCCATTTCAGAAATAAGGGCACAATTCAATAACACTTTGACCTCTTAAAAGCGATGCCAATCAATCCAAGAACGGTTCAGCCAAGCTTCGCACGATCAGGTTTGACCACGACAATTACTTAATCCCTGGATGCCCTCCTAGTTCTTTTTCGGAAATTCACGTTTACGTCAATTGCCATACGGTGCAGTTAAATGCTAAGACTAATTCAGGTATAACACAAGTTCCGTGCTTTACTTACCCATGGCAGCACATGACCCATCAAATTCCCAGCATCCCTAAATAATAATAATAATAATAATAATAATAAAACAACAACAACAACAGGAAACAGAACATGTCAATCAAGCACCATCTAAGCAGAGGCCTCAACTTTACTCGATACTTAGTTACAAGAGAAACTCAATTGAAGTCAATTCTTAGTCACCTCAGTTTCTGTGGCAGACATCGAAGGGTTTCTTAAATCAACATCCTCGAGAAAACCTGACAGAGAGAAAACAAAGGAAGAAGAGTTAAACGTAGAGATATTAATCATCAAGTTAACTTTGCAATGAAACCAAAAGATATGAATCGCGAGTATACCTCATTACAGAATAAAATGTCAGATGATGTTCAACTTAAAATAAGGACGAAATTCCTTTCCTGTAGTCTGACATTCTTCTTCTTTTACTTTTTGTTACCAAATTTAAATCAAGTACCCGTATATCATGTCAAAAAGTCGGTCAATCAATCAGTCCGTCGAAATTAATCAATCGAAAAAGATATTTGGGTCATCTGCCACTCACATTCCAGAAAAGCTCTTGTGTTTACGTCTTTAGTACAAGTAAGGGCGCTGTTCCCAGAGTACGTTGCAAGCTGTGGGTCTGCACCGTATGATAACAAAACCCTGAGCACATCCACGTAACCTCCTTCTGCCGCGTCATGAATGGGCCTAGCGACCAGGTGTAAACATAGAAATAGGTAAATGAACGAGGAAGCGAGCGAGTGAGTGCCCATGAGTGAGTGAAAGAACGAAAGGGACTGAGAATGTGATTGAGAATGTGACTGAGCGAGTATATGGGTACGTACATGCGTGCGTGCGAGCGAACGTGAGTGACCGAATAAGTGTTGACTGGACAACTGAACATTTGAGCGGGTGAAGCATGACAGAGTAAGAGCATTCGTGCGTGCGTGCGTGCATAAGCGAACGAATAAGTGGTAACCGGTAAATAAAAAGAACAAACGTTAAACTCACCGAATGCCATCATTAGAGCAGGCGTTTACGTCAGCACCGTACTTGGCCAGCACCTTGACGACATCAACTTTGCCTCTGGAGCAAGCTTCGTGTAACGGCGTCCAGCCAGCGTTGTCCTTGGCGTTAGGGTCGATACCTTGATGGATATGGTGATGGACTGTTTCCTGGTAAACATTAATAAAAGCACGGCGCATTCATCGTGTCCTTCCGTATAAGTCATGGCATTTTGAAATTACGCTATCGCTCCGGTTCGGGTTTTCTATTACATCCAGCTGATAGTACTTGTTTGTCAGCGCAACTAAATTATCCTCTAACCAGTTTAGTTACCCCTGCATTCTTATAGAGGACAACATCATACGAAACTACGCCAACGTCTTTCAGAAAAGGGATTTTCAAAAGAGAGGAGCAATGAAATTTCAAACGCTTTTTGAATCGGGAAAGTAATGGGAAATGTTACTGTAAATTTCATGTTGGTCTTTTGGGCCTCAAGGTCATGCATATCGGGGGATTTTAGTGTATCAAAGTAGACACAGCAGTCAAACGTCTTCGCAAGTGCGAACGTTGCAGAGGCAAGTTGTCTTAGAGGAAATATAAGCAACCACGCAAGCCGGTAGAAAGTGTATAAATGTTTTGATAAAGCTGAAAAAATTGGTAAATTAACAGGATATCCCTAGTCAAAAAGGTTAAAGCTTTCAAAGTTTCTCAAGTTTCCTTTTACCTACTTTGTTTCCTTTTACAGATTTCTACACATCTTTCCACTTCCCCCATATATTGCGTTTTCCTTGGAAATTTGTGCGAGAAATCGGCGCGCGGGTAGCTTAGATTGATCTCAATGCGCATGGTCGACGTTTGACCGCCGCGTTATCAAAGTACTCTTGAACTCACGTGGTATCCTAACCGAGCAGCTTTGTGCAATATGGTTTCGCCTGTGTTGCGATTCACATTCAACTTCCTGGCCTCTACAAGAAACATCCAGAAGTGGTCAAGACAACAGATACGCACGTAAATCTCAAATTAACGGTTCCCGCGTTTAAATGGTGCTAAGAAATGGGAGGCCATCACAGAGATAGTTTGAACAAATAGGAAAAGAGGAAGAGAGGGTTGAAGCAAATCGTATTTATATTTTCCATCATGTATAACTTAGAGGCTACATGTAGTCGAGGCAGACAGTGTTCATGAGGCTATCAGGCTACTCAAACTAATTTTAAACACCTACCTCTCAAGGTATCATCCTCATTGGTGTTCTAAGAGAGGAAAAAAGAAATAGCTGGTTAAAGGCCTATTGGTGAAGATTACATCAATCACCTACTTATATCATACAGGAGGGAAATAACTGTTCAAAATAGATATACTCATTGAAATCTAAGGAAAAGACGATGTCATCTTCGAGGTTCTTTCAAAAGCTATTAATCGAACTTTCAATCATGGAGAACAGCAGGCACAACTGCACACGGCAACAAGACCCAAACCAAAACATATTGCCACGTCACGTGGCAAAACGACTATTCAAAGAGGCTAATTTCAGTGATCATCTCTGAACTTGTCAACACATTGACAACTGCATTATATCTAATTGATATAGACATCTTTACTTGTATTTCCCCCAAAAAATTACCTCTTCAAGAGAGTCATCAACCTCCCACTTCCCACGTGCTTTTAGAGAATTCTCTACAAGTTGTTGAACCTCCTCATTCTCAGCGATGATACTTTTTCTGATAGGTTTCGAGTTTACACTTTCAACCACCAACAGAGGAAACTCTGATGTCTTTGTGGTACTCTTATCACTGTCCTGCTGGCCCTCTAAAACTGCGATATTTGAGAAACTAAGTAAATTTACATCTACTGAACAGTCTATTAATACCAGAATTTACCAAATATTTTCAGTTGCCGGCAGACATGCAGAAAATGCATTTGTCAAATATCACAACGTTTTCATAGTTTCTTACCTGGACTGTATAATAGGACTAAATCAAATCAAACGTAAATAGGAAATTGCAGCAAATTTGTGCAACTTTGACAAAATGTTTGTTTGTTTTATGTTTTATGTTAAGTTGTGATTTTTTCTTTTTGTTAAATATCCAAAGGTAAACGCCAAAAACTTAAGGGTAATGTACCGTACGACACTTTCAAGAATTGTAATGCAACGACCACAAAAAAATTGGCTTTTCTTGGTTAAACACACTCTGATAATCCTTATTAATTCTTAAACGATCCTCTCTCACTTTCCGCTTATTTCTTCCTCTTTGTAGTTTGTCTACCTTGGTAAACTATTTATTTTTCAAGGTTTCCTCTTAATTTAAAAATGTTTCAACGATCCCCTTCTCCTTTTTCCCACTCATGCAGAAATATCAAACACGTATCGAATTTGCCTTTACAGCCCTTCCACCTGTATCAGTGGCTTGACTCAACACTTACCACCATCCGTCTGCTTGGACTTTCCACGTGTCCTAGATTCGAGAACCACTGGCTTAAAATCCTGTTAATGATAAGAATGATTGGACGGCAGTATTATGTTTCACACATACAGCCCACAAGGATACATTTCTACCCATGCCAACATTAAATAAAGGAATAAGCTGAGTTACGGTACAAATAAACAGTTTTAAGAATAAAATTGTTCAATATAAGTGTAAAGTAAAGACTTGAAAGATGTCTTGGGTAAGTTAGAAGTAACTTATTTAATGCCGATATTGTAGGAAGTGATTGCCCACTCTTCCGAGCTGGTGGCTCATGTTAAAATGACAATGTATGGATATTTTAGGGAGAAGTTACATGTTTAATCATTTATGGGAGTTAAAGGGTCAAGAGGAATTTGATGGAGCAGAGGTTAACTTACCCTAAAACCTTGATACGCCGTTACCAGCATGTACGTCTTAGTAACACGATGGGTCCTGTCAGTTTTAGCTAAGAATGACATTATAAATAAATGATTATTTTCTTACAAAGAGATGGGTTTTATACTCATAAATGAAACATGACTGTTGTTCGTCCGGTCATTGGAATAAAAAACGCCAAATTTAAAAGAAAAGTCCCGTGTGATGCATTAAATGTTAACTTTTCATATCACTTCGTAAACAGATCTCAACAAACCCCTGCATATATAAAACCTCGGAGTATCAGATGATGAATAGGGGGGCTTCTTTGGATCAGAAGAAGCATACGCCTGTACCCTTAACACAGCGATCTTTCTTTCCAAGATCCCTTCTGACAGAAAGCCAAAACTTACCGTTTTTATCCACAACAACTTCCTAAGGAAGAAAGAGAGAAAACAAAAATGACGAGAAAGCAACAACAAATGAAAAAGAGAATCTAGCTCTGCAATGATACACTAGAGGGAAACTGCAGATGATCCTTAGAAGACGACATCAGATCTCTTTCATGTGAACTTTTGTTTTACTTTCGGTCAAATATATTAATAGCGTTAAAAAAGAAATTAGTTTTTCAACGGCATATGGCGTGATTAAAAATAGACCCTTGGCACTGAGGTATCTTTCCTTCCTTTCCAAAACACGAAGGTTAATCTAAAAGCCGTTAGAAAAACAAAAAGAGGCAGTGACAAATATGATAAAAATGATATCGATTTCATTGGGACAATCACCCAGAAAATTGAAGCGAGTAAATAGTAGTTACATCTATAATTCCATCAACAAACAGGAGATAGGTTACAAGTAATCTGTTGATCCGAAGCTACATCAACTGACCTGTTTGTTCACTCGCAACGGCTCTATCTCAACTTTCGCACGTTTAACGGCTTTTTTTCCCATTTCAACGGGAGTAGAGGGTCTTTTGCATAAATGTTTTTCTGGAACGTTCTCCTTTTTGGTTTCCTTAGGGCCACAAGCTAAACAGCGAAAAAGGAGGACTTTGTTAATTTAAACCATGAAACCAAAAGGAAAAACCACAGCTACTAAAAATCTAATCTAATCTAAACTTACTCTCGCTAGAGCATCTTCTCAATTTCACAGGTTTAGTCTGAGTAAAGAGAAAAAACAGTAAAGCTTTTCATCAGGCAAACGTTGTTAAGTGGAAAGTCATTTCTAGGAGTACATACTTTCAAATACAAAGAGCAAGGAAATTGTATAATTACTAGATATTTTCTTATTTGAAATTTTAAGACAAACACTAGAGCGAAAGGAGAGGTTGCATCCTATGCAAGAAACAAGCGAGGATTGTTGAGCATCACAAACCTCGTTCCCAGACCCAGGAGAAGACCTAACGCTTGTCACAAAAACATATTTACATAACTGTGAAACCTCGACTACATATCGGTGTTCCCACGGTCTGTTCCCCTGAAACAAATCACGCTACATGCAAACCAAGCTGTCCGTTTCTATAATACTGAAACCAAAACGAAACATTTCGTCCTCGCTTCGGCATAAGCTTTGTTTTTTTATCGTGAACAGACAACAAAATAGTTTCAATTTCATACTAAAAAGGGGATTTTTGGCTCCTTTTGATGTGCTCCTGTTCGCACTCAATTTGCAATTGAAACATTTTTAGCTCCAGTTACAGTTATTGTGAATATCATTATATCAAATTGGTCTAAACACGTGTGCTTAAATTAACATCACTAAGTTTCTTTCCAACAAAATCTAACGAGCCTTAATGTGCCAACGTGTTGATCGCTTTTCTACATGATTCGTCTAGCATCGAGGGCGACCTGTATGATGCCTTTAACTACCGCTGCATTTCGAAACTGATCCAGCCACGGGCAAAGTTAGATATACGAAGCCTTGAACTACAGATACCTCGTCATCTAGTGAGCAAAGCGAATCCACAGCATTCTCGACTGCCGGGTTGTTTATGTTATGGACGAAACAAAGAACAATGACGCGAACGTAAATGTCGACAAACACAGCGACGCCAAAAATCTAGGAAATGGTTATAACAAGAGAAAACTGAAAACACGATGATTATAATTACCGTGGTTTTTTGCTTTGGTAAAACAACTGTTTCTTGTGGGGCATCCGTTGGTTTGGGAACAAAAGCTCGTTTCTCTGTAACCAAAAAAAAAATAACATAAAATATTTATAACAACAACTGGTGATGAATAGTTTAAGAGATTATTTACTGTCACAAAATAACCTATCATTATAATGTCACGCACAATAACACTACTGACAATTTATCACAGTCACGCAACAAGATTTGAATAAGGGTCTTACAGCTTTGATAAAAATTTGAAAGTCTATCTCAAACATAGGGAGCCTAAATATTTGTAACTGGAAAACAAATTTAAATCTTCATAATCAGAGCTGAATTTCTATTTAAAGTAGTTAGAGTGGTTGTTCCAAATATAAAAAGGAGCGCTACTGAGGGCAGCATGTATTGAATTCTACGGTTTAGATCCTTTCCAGTTTTGACATTCTCCGTGGATATCGCTTTTTTACTCTTTAGTCATTTACGTTTGGGTTTTTGCGAGTAAGACGTAAACTACTGCGGCTTTTTTGATCAAGAGAGTCTCCTATCTCGACCATCTTTTGCACCTCGTTGTCAGTTGTTACAGTTAGTTTTTTTATTCCGTTTAAACAACTTTCAGTTTTGATGGAAATTTTAGCCGACTATCGAAACTCTTTTCGCGCTCTACCTTCAAAATGAAACAGAACTACCCCGTAACTACCACTTTCGTGTTGGACGACCTAACGCGACATGTTCCTCATTTTACAACCACGCCACTTTTAAGACCATAAAACACCATTTGAATTCCCCAGTCCCTAATTTAGTTAATATCTCTCCGTCACTGTTACCATTCGTTAAATTGGTCTCTTACTAATTTTAAGGTATTTAAATAGCCCCCATACAGACAATGAGAAATAACCTTTATTGAATCTAACATGAAAGTGTATAAAAAACAATTTTAAAAATCTTGCAAGTTACAATTCTCCTTTTAAGGAAAAATATCCCTAACCTAATGCATGCTCGCTAGTCTACTCTAGTTTGAGCACTCTGGCATGGCTTAGACGATACCACAAAGGTTGGGTCGTTTGGGGTGACCGTCTCGGTTCTCCCCCATCCTAGCATGAGCACTGCACTGATGAGGCCCAGAAGGCCGAAACAGTACTGTCTGCAGTTAATTATATGGCTATGTATAATAAAATTATAATGTGCTGTTTAGGTAGTCTATGTCTTACTTTAAGTCTCTTGACTAAGGAAATGCATTTAGTCTTCAAAAGTTCAACGCAAAAGAATAATAAGAAAAATTTACTATAAAAATAATAAAAATAATCTATAACTGATGAGTTTAAGGAAGTCTTGCTCGACCCTTCTCTACTTCCAGATACCCATACAGTCAATAGCCTCACAAACAAATTAGTTAGTTATCAGGTTGTCAGGTTGTCGCAGAAAAAGGGATCTGTATTGATACCTTAAAACCAAATTTTATTCCCCCCTACCTTCGACCCCCACCTTCCCCACCCTCACAAAAACTAATCTCGCTACACCTTACCTCTTTCCACACGCTTTCGTGTCAACTTGGGTTGCTCATCCTATTCAGAAACAAGAAATTACAGGGTCAGTGGGGCAAAATCCGTCCACGCTCCAAAATGCCATGGAAGTATCAAACAATTTAAAAAACCATTCGTACACTATCCTGCAATAAGTTCGTTCTCCGCTTCTTTGTGACAGTTGCTGGCTGCTTATCACTACTTATCACTGCTGAATTGTCCTCTTGGCCTGAGAGGAAAGTAGCAAAGTCAGAATGAGTATTAGAAAAAAACTTATGACCCATGACAAACGAAACACACGTGGGAATCGACTTATATGATACAATAATTATTAAGACCAATCTGAATCCCAATCTGATCACATTAGAGTTGCTAACTATGCCATCCTTATAAAAAACTGGCAAACATTTCACCAACATTTGACATGGCTAAGCGTATTTTGTAGTATCATAGCTTTGCACAACATCAATAATAATAGAAAATCAAGACTGTACGAAAATAAGAAAGGGAGAAATGAAGAGGAAACTAAACAAAATTGTTTTAAATAATTGCTCAAGCTATTACTTCAATTGGTTTTAGACTCATCAAATGGGCGAGTCCGTTACAATATTAAGAGTCATTTTCAACGAGAGAAAAAGTACAAATTAACAAATGGTAAACACCACAGCGCACACTCTTGAGTTATGGATGCACGCGGGAGGTTGCTAAGCACGAAAGAAGCGTAAGAGTCGCTCGAGACGATAGCCGAGAGCGACTCTAGCTTCTTGAGTGCTTAGCAAACCTCCCAAGTGCATCCATAACTCAATAGTGTACGCTGTGGTGTTTACCATTTGTTTTATAACATAACATTAACACACTGTAGCTAGAGTTCCCTTTTATTTAACAAATCTTACGTGACCAGGAAAAAACAAGCGCGCGCGGAAAAATAGTCTTTGCATTTGCTCACGTCAGCAGCGTACACCCATGGGCAAATGGGGGACGCTAAATTGACCAATCAGAGCGCGCGCTTTACTTTGGTTACGTTATAATAACGGTTTAATTTAAAAAAATTAGGAAGAACAAAACAGTAGGCATAAGGAGAGTTCCAAATCGGGAGAATGAACACGGAATAAAGATGACCCAAATAAAACTACGGTTCCAAATTTTGGAAACGCACTAAACTAGAACTAGCTTCTTCAACTCGAAAACTTAACATAAAGCATTACCTGTCGACTTCACCATCATACTTCTCCTCTGCGAAAACCAAAGCCGCTGCAAAGCAAGTGGAAAACAAACAAGCATATTAGACACACATCTGATTCCGAATCTAAGAGGGGGATTAAATTGCACCAAGCCAAATACTGCATCTGCGATGAAGTTTTTCTCCCTAGAATCCTAGTTAAAATGTCCACCACGACAACGATATTTTTTCAACTTACTCTCCGCTTAAATTTCTTTATCCACACCTTCGTTGCTACAGAATTAAAAGAAAGGAGTTAGTACCTTTAAAACTAGTAAAGCGTACATACAGTGGAACACATACACGTAAGACAGAATTTGATAACCATGAAAAAAAATTACATATATAAACTTTTAGCTAGCGTTAGTTACAAACATTTCGTACAACCAAAGTACAATGCACCACACTACATTTCACAAAATTCCAAGAACTCATTTTAACTGTGCTACTTTAGGTCAGCAAATGTATGGCGATGTTAAGATATAAATTTTCCCTAGGCGGGTGGTTTCCTTAGGATAAAAAGCCTACCCGGCAAATAAAAATAAAAGATAAGAAGGAAAAGAATAAGTTATAGCCTAATGAAATTTTACCTGTTTGTTTCGTCCCATCATTTGGTAACGTTGATTTTTCCTAGTATAAAAACCAAATCAAACATGATGCTATAAATTAGGTAACTTACATGTTTCATGAAACAACAACTTGAAGGAGGTTTCTACGGGACTTCCTAAAGGTTTTGTTTATCACGCTTAAAGCAAACAACAAGCATAAATAATTGCCGAGCTATAGCTCATCGTAAAGTCTTGAGATTGAGATTCGGGAAGATGGAAAACAGTGAATTTTCGTTATACAGTCTGGGGATGGTGGAGACCCCGGCTGGCTCTACATGGGTCAGTCAACCCAACAGACTACCCATAATGACGCCTCAGCTAAAGAAGCGCTTGGACGTAAGCTTTAAATTCGAGGAAGGATTTGAACCGGGACACACTACACTATAAAAAAATGTTTTTTAGTGACAATACTTGACTGTTTTTTAGTGTAACGATGAGAAGTAAATGTGCAAGTTGTAAACAATTTAAACAAGAAATTGAAACATTCCAGCAAGAGAAACCAAAGAGATAAGGTGGTAGAAAAAGTATCTCGTTTAGAGTGTTCTCCAATTCTTTCGTGAGAAACGATGGGAACAGCGAGAGAGGGAAAGCAAATTATCTATCGTAAATAACTGAGCGCTTGCAAATTTTTTTCTTAGATCAATTATTACACTTGCACCTGCAGGACATATATCGAATCAAGCCAACCTGCTTGGATGTCTACTTCGTTATTTACCCATTCTTCGTATCGAAAAACACACTACTAAAATCTATTTTAACTACTTGTATCACAATTGAAAAGAAAACTGTTTCAACAACATTTCCAAGCGCCGATACAATACCTTGTGTCTTTTTCGTAACCGTCTTTTGAATGAGTCTTTCTTTTTCATTTCTTTAGATTTCTCTTTCATTTCCATTTCACTAAACTGCATCATTGCTCTTTGCAAAGCTCTTTCCTCGCGAGTTAATTGGCTTGGGTCTCGGTATAAGTCCCCAACGCTGGTTTCACGAACAGGTGATGGAAGCCTAGGCTCAAGGCGGCGAATCATTGCGCTGTTTTGCTTTTTCTTGGTACTTTCTTTGTCTATACCGATGTCTTCAACGTCTTCTATGTCATCAACGTTTTCGACTTCTTGCTTTTCATCGGAAGAACGTTCTCCCGCACATTCCCTGATGCATTCCACACTTCCTTCCATACTTTCTTCCACATTTTCTTCGGCACTTTCTGCTATGCATTCCTCCACGCATTCATTCACAGTTTGTCCCAAATTTGTGGGAGGATTTTCAACATCATCCGAATCCACATTGCACATCACATGAGGCGAAACAATCGATTCGTCGGTATCGATTTCACAAACGTTTTCATTTTGTTGATCGTTCGAATAACTCAGAACTGTAATGGGTGACTCGCACCTTAAGTACCTTTCTATGTCAGGGCTGTGTGCCGACTCACGCAAGGCACATTCGTAAGATTGGTCCGCGAGTTCCTCCTCCACAGAGCCCCTTCTGTCGAGTCTATTTGTTCTTGGGGAAATTGAATATCCAGTTTGAGTTGGTAAAGAGCGAAAAGTATCCGGTGGTCGAAACGAAACTCGCGTAGGAACAGAAATGCCGGCATTAATTACACCCTTAGCAGGGGAAACTGGCCGAAACGTTCTCTCCGGTATATCGGGTGAAGATGACAGTCTCTCGGGGCAAATTAAGTCTTGTTGTGTACGAATCGGTAAATTACGTCTTTCCAAAGCAGTCAAGGAAACAGGTGGACGTATCACACCACAGGGTATTCCTGCAGGTGAAAGCATCGGTAACACAAACTGAAATTTTGAATTGGATACTTGTCCCTTTACAGGAGAAGTCACAGTTTGCAATTGTGGGCACGTTGGAGGTTGCAATCCGTTGGCCAATGGCTGTGAATGCACAGGCCTGATAGTTGCAATGTAGGTATTCGGAGGAGGAGTCCCAGTACTGATAAAAGGACCAATGAGATGAGTTGTTGCAATGTTGGTCTGTGTTCTGTCGACGTTTACTTTTTCACCAGTCATCCTTGTGGAGTCTAAGCAAATTAGTTTAGGTTTCTCAACAGTACTAGGTTGAACAGCCACGGGATTCGTATTGCCGTTAAATCCAGGCGCAGGTACCTTAGTCGCATAAGTATTTTTAACGCTTGTCGACCCTGATGCTGGACTGACGCATTTTATCGGAGTCACTGAAGGAAATATCAAATTCGAGTCCACCTTAGGTCGTTCTGTCGGAATTATCACTTGAGTATCAACAGGGTGAGCCTGTCCGTTTACAACGCGCGACGATTTGGCATTTGAACGCATGTTTGACGCGTTTAGCTGCACAAGTTGCTGTAGGGACCGGCCAGAAGTAACAGCATCATACCCCGTTCTCAAAGGCTGTACCGTTGGCGGCATGTTACTCCCAATTTCCTTGTTTATAGTAGTTAATAGCCTGAGTTTTTCAGAAAAGGGAAACACTCTGTTTCCTTCCAGTGAGGTTGTTCTTTGCATTGGCTGTTCAGTGTAAGAGGTATTCCTTGTATGTTCGAAGACATTACGTTCTTTCGTTGCGATCTCTAGAAAGTAAAAAAAAAAAGTGATTAGCGTCAGCGAGAAAATATTAAAAAAATATATAATAATAAATATAAAGAACAAATATTGAATTTGCATGCTTAGATTTGTTCAGTGCTCTTTCGACTTAAGTGGTCTGCGATTGAATCAGACGTAAACTAGGTGAACGTATATTGACGTTACCTTATTTAGGACATGTGAGAGAAAGCTGGTTTCTAACCATTGGCCACAAACAAACAAACAGCTCAAAACAATAGGGATTTAACTCGCAACACTACTATTAACAAAGAGCTTCAAGTCTCATAAGCAAAACAGTATAATCCTCTTCATATCTGGTTCATGGGTTAAATTGTTTTTCTTTCAATTAATTCATTTATTTAAATATGTATCTATTCTTCACTCATGCAACATGTGCACTGGGCAACCTCATTTAAATGATACACTTCAAACACCAATCAAGGCCAACGAGACACCATGCCGCATTGAGAAATTCTAGACTAAGTTTTCTAACCTGTGCCCTCGTATACAACGTGTACATGTAGAAACCCTCGAGAAGATCACTGTTGTAACAACAGCGCAAAAGAATCACTCATAAGCACGAAAGCGATATACATTACACATCCAAAATCAGAATTCACGTACTCGACATCGTCTGTTTTTCTTCCGCCGCGGACGCACGAGCGTCGCTCGCTGACCCTGTCCCATTTGGTACAGTCTCGACAATGCGGTTTTGTGCGAAGGTAACGGGAGATCGAAAGTTGCTGTTGATATGTTCGAATACAGAACGCTCATTTCTCACTTCCGGTGCTGGTTCAGAGCTTTCGTGATTCAGGGTTGTGGCAGCTGTCGGGAGACAAACAAAGTTATAAAATAAATTATTGAAGATTGATTAGCTACGTTTTGAATACATTTGGGCAACTCACACAAGGCAGTTTTTGAAACGGTCCTGGATTTTGGTTGGACCAGTGTGTAATTTCTCATTTCAGCAATATTGCTGAATCTTTCATTAAGAACATAAGTAAAAAGGAAATAATCACCAATCTCACAGGTTTTTAATTGTTAAACGAATTCTCCTAGTCGTATGAAAGGAAATGTAAAAAGAGAGGATAAAGAATATCGATATTGATGTTACGGTGTGCAGGGGTAATACTTTGACTGCTCAGTTTTGTTTGTAAGGAATGCAGATCACCACTCATAAATTCAAGAAGGGGTAATATTTTGACTGCTCAGTTTTTCTTCTAATGAATGCAGATCACCTCTCATAAATTCAAGAATATCTCACCGACAGTCACGTCATGATATTCAACGTTCAGATTTTTTCTGTTGAGAAAAAATTGAACAACTCTGAAATTAAATTTAACACTGACGGTCCTCTATACTTCACATGTATGTATAAGACTTACGAAGGACACAGAAAGAGAGAAAAATGGAATTTAAGGTAAATTTTGAGAGCAAGGAAACTCAGCTACACTAACTACACAAATATTTACACAGAAAAGAGAAAAAGAGATAAAATGAAGTGTTCTGTTAGAGGTCAATCGTGTAAGTTTCAAGAAAAATTTCCTTTTAAAGAAACATACGTGAAATAATGAATAATTGCAGAGGTTATGAAATTTTTATTTAGATATTAAAAAATGTTTGTACAATTAAGTCATGACTGAGCCTTCGCCGGCCGTTACAACAATTCTTTAAACCCACACAAGAAATACGTGCGACGCGAACTGCTGTGTCACGGTAGATTTAAAAAATTGTGTGACAGTCTATAAACTCATCGTACCTTAGAACCTGCACAGCCGAATCAGTCAAGCCATTGGCATCTCCCATCTGCGTAAAAGAATACATAACATATAGTCACTACCCTCGGGTGCCTATAGCAGGGATACCGTACAACCCAAACACAAGCTTCATAACAACACTTTATTATCCAACTACACTCCGTATAGTACAAATAACGCCAAAGACGAGTACTCGTTATTTGTATTTTGACGCGACCTGCGGGCTCGCCAAAATACGGCACGACTCGCAAAAATACATATATCTTATTAGACGTTTTGTTGTGTAGTATCGCTGAGTATTTTTACGAGTTGTGCCGTATTTTAACGAGTAAAAAAACTCAGCGATACTACACAACAAAACGTCTAATAAGTTATTTATTATCCAACACGCCAAACTGTTATTTCAGTGCGGGCGAATTTCGCGGATATTTATTTACGAGGAGTGCGTGACAGAAGTATGCGAAGCGGAACGGAAATGGCGCGTTGTATTGCTGTTTCTATTTTCTTCATTAAATGAAGAAATGTTCTGGTCGTCAAGCTGTTTTTCTTTGTTCGATTCATCTAATAAACTTGGATCTATATTTGCCAGCCCTTCTGACTCTTCGTCGTCGGAAATATGATTCAAATTATCCGCCACTTTTTTTTTTCGTAACTACAACCCAACTCTTCGTAACTACAATTCAATTCTTCGCTTCCGCGACGCGAGAAAACCTGTTTAACCGGTACTCTACAATAAACGAGTACAAATACTGCGTGATATTTGTACTCGTCTATGGCGTTACTTTTATTCGTCTAAGTGTAGTTGGATAATAATCATTGATACTACACAACAAAACGTCTAATAAGATATATGTAATTACTTATACTTGCCGGAAGTTCGCGCTGCAGTACCACCTGTTTGCCGTTATAACAAGCCTCAGCTTTTACTTCGGATGACCGTTTTAAGTTCTCCGCTAAAATCTTCGCGAAGGTCTGTCGGCTAGCAATTCTGAAAACCATCAGAAAAATACGTCATACTTCAGGAACGTGGGCTAAAGGAAAAATTTAAAGTTCCTCAGCCTTTGAATTTCGCGGTCCCATGTTTACTACTGAGGAGTCTATGTTAAACTTGTCATTGCCAAGGTCTCATTCATAAATCTACTTGCTATCTGCCATACAGTTCTTATGATTTTACTTCGGAGAATTTGTTATTGAATCAACTTATAATCTCCTATGCGCGGCGTCCTGCATTCCGAAACAATCAGCAATTCCGATGGTGTCTTGTTTGTGAATCGTTAACCCATTAACTGCCACGATCTGATCATGAATTCTCCCCTGTAGCTGCTATACATTTCCTTGTAAATTGATTAGGAGAATTTGGTGTCCAATCAAGGTAACAACTTCTATCTGATAAGTTTGAGTATTCTCATTACCTGTTTGCTGGATCAAGTATGGATAATATAGGGAGAAGTTACAAGTTAATCACTTCGAGGAGTTTAAGGGTTAGAGAGATGGTAAATTTTGAATTTGTTTAAGATATCACTTATGTTCCGACAAAATGTGACAAAGGATAAATCAGGAAAATACAGTATTGGTAGAACCAAAATTATCACACCTCTGTGAAATATTAGTATTACACATTCTTACTTTGTGCGTTTTTTTTATTTTTATATTTTTATTTATTTTATTTTTTTCATTTTTGCCAGAAAAAATGCTCGTAATTTATTTTATTATAGACAAGCAGGCGTTCCTATAAGTTTGCCGGCTTTCAAACTGAGAATATGCTACAACTCGGGCAATAAACTACTGATCGGTTATGATTTTAGTATTCCAGATAACTGTATTCGTGTAGTTATAACGATGGATGTAAACGCTAAAATACAAGCTACATAAATCTTGAACACAACTTAAATCCTATACATTTACGAGAAAATTCTGAATGCAACGATAAACAATTCTACTGATACCTGCGTTGAGGTAAACGAACTTTCTGTTACACTCTGTAATTCGATACTCGATCGTAATCGAGCACAGAATACTTCGTGTGAGACCGTGTGACGGCGAACTTATAAAATAAATTGAACACAGAAAAACAACAGCTGGAATAATAAAAGCATGTAGATCTGTACGATTGAGCATTCTCTCAATTATTTCATTTCGTCTCATTTCAGCAGTGCAATTTTTTTTCCTCGAAACAAAATTACAGAAAACACTCATTTGATTAGGACTTACTAGATATCCAAATGGAACCGTTCGACTAAGTTCGATTGCAGCGATAAATTTCGCGCGGTAAGTTCTTCAACGATCGACTGTGTTCGATTTCAAAACTGTACGATGATCAAGTAAGCTTGCCAACGCCAGGATTTGTCAATCAATCGTCCCCTGAAAATCAAATCTCGTCCCCTGGAACAAAGATTTAAGTCATATGCACTAATTTCTTACGGTTTCCATTCCCAGGCAGCGAAGGAATGAACAGGTAAATCTAATTACACGTACCTTTGAATTATCTCCTCTACAGTACTACCACCATTTTGAAGGGAATCATCCGGGATATCGTGGGAACAAGATACGTCCGCGATATCGATCACACTTGGTTCAGCGGTACCCTAAACATCCAGAAGAGGGAACCCACTTAGATAACCGTTTATCCTTTAGTTTCTATGTCGAGAAATAAGGTACGACGGCTTAACTTTGAGAGCAAAGTTGTGATGAACATTACATTTTCGCAGCATGACCGAGAGTGCAGCGTGACAGTTCACGCAACGCTCATAGGGTGTCATGTAATGGCCTTTGTAACACACTGAAGCCAGAGACAAATTTTCAGAATTCACATTGAGTGTTTTAGGTTTCAGCCATCTTTCTTTGGAGATAGACCAACTCAAAATGGTTGTAGAATAAACCAGATGGTGTTGTACCCACATTTGTCGTAAACCAGATTTTAATATCGCTACAAACATGGTGCTCAATAAGGATTTTCTGTTTAACTAACACACATCAATGATTTCCAAAATAATATGGAGCAAAGTTATTTTAATCCAAACAAAACAAGCCCAAGCATAAAATGATCTCTGCATAGCCACTAACAATGAAAATAAAACGTGAAATATGACATTTACAGTAAAATCCAGAGTTAAAAACCTTTTACACTCATTTCACATGGAGGCAAAACTTCATAGACGACCGATGACAGAGAGCGATGTCTACGATGTTACTGAAAACGGTTTATAAAGATAATCGGTTGGGAAGTAAAATGACAGCAGAGACACAATTACAAGTGAGTGCCACGTCGAAAACAGAGTGATGTGCTGCGTAACAATTCGCAAAGCTTCCATACAGTGTCACGCAATGGACTTTGAAAAACACCTTTCATCTAACTGGACCTTTGGAACTTGCTTCAAATCACCTCCTTCAGCGTGCTAGGTGACCAGGTGTTGGAAACGCTGGGGTTCTTTTTCTTCTTCTTATGCTTCTTCTTTTTTATAAAGGCATGTGGGGCCCAAATTTTTATTCGATCAAGAGATAAACTAAACACTAACGATCAGACTATAAATTACCGACCGTAAATCTAATCCTTTCTTCTTAATGAACACTAAGAAAAGCTAAAAAAAAAATTGTTTCATCACGGTATGTACAGAGTTAAGAACATTTGTGTTTCTCTGCCTGATATTGTAACCCAAAACTGGAAAGCACTGTAAACAAAGACGTCCCCCTCAAAATAAGGGACATGGGTAACAAGCGGCCATTTCTATGGGTGAATTAAGAATACAGAACCGGCGAGAAGAATCGAAATTTGACGAGGTTATGCAAATCACAGAAAACTAGCGTTGACTAAAAAATAAGTGTAAGAGAACCAATATCAGTAGAGTTAACTACAAAGATGTAGGTTAGATGAGGAGTAATAACAAAACGTTGTTTGGTAAATTATAGAATTGGAATCAACGTTGACTGGAGGGTTTCCCTGAGGGTTTACTGCGTAGATGGTTATTGTGGTGTTTATGTGTTTCTGAGGAGTATAGGTGTTCTAGCTCATGTGAAGGTACAACACACAATTGAGCCAACATCGACCTTTAAAGCTGGAGGCAAGGTATGTAACTCAATCTCTACAACATGAGGCAATTAAGGGCGGCCCAGTTCTCCTCCCTGAACTGGATTCTGGGCACATCAAAAATGGTTCACCCCTAACACTCTCCGGGTTACGGTGAGTGTCCACTGGCACTCACTGAGTCGAGGTGTTTGAAATCCGACCACTGTAAGACTCAGAAAGCTCTGAATACTAGAAATACACAAGAATTGTGATTGTGCCTCAAGGAAAAAGCCAATCTGGTTTAAGAAATTAAACTACATACAGCAATAGTAATCACTCTGTGGATTTGAGGTTTCCCCTCGTGTCTTGTTCTTTACCGAGTCTAGTTAGTGCACAACCGACTAATCAGAATTCTTGTCAGAATCAAATCATCATCATTATCCTCATTTATTAGCCACTTCTGAAGTAAGATTTATACGAATTCAACAGACTGGTAGGAGGAGGAGACCTCCAAGAAAACAACAGGCCAGTACGGGAGGCCACTTCGGATGTCAACTTGTTTAGATTTTGAATGTGCAGCCTGGCCAATTCAGACTTATTTTATCAAAAATTCCATCATCCCAGGGATCGATACTGAGACGGAAGTCCAAACTAAAGGAGCATGGTAGTGTTAACGGTTAACGCAACTACGATTAACTGAATGTGAAACTTTAGCATTGTCTTGGAAATTAAGCTTTAGAATGGCTCTGATCATGTTTCTAAAAAGAAGGCCGTAAGAAAAGAAAGCACAGTTCACGACGGCTTCACCAACCGCGAACCTTAACTTCGCCCAAAATTACAAAGTAGCAACACGAAACCGCGGGATCAATTACTCGAGATGTGCGTGCTGCAATCTTTGTTCAGTACGAAAATGGACCATTAAGACTTCCTACGACCTAAACAATGAGAAGTAGAAGTATTCTCATATCGCCACCTCAGTAACGTTCAAGGATGAAACCCCAACACAACCTCGTCACAATTTGTGAGCTAACAGCTTACTATCAGAAATATCATTTGAATAGAGATACAGCTCACATCCTCGTCTGCCTTGTTAATACAGTGTGCTCTCTAAGCTATCAGAAAATATAACGTGGAAAGGCACTGGCAGACAGAAGTATACATTCTTGAAATCGCTTAAAATTTGTCCTTTTGGTTTTACGAGCCACAATTACTCAAGACTTTGGGCTATCTGTGCGACAATTACATGACTAAACTGATGAAAACTTTTTCCTTGAAATGTCGTTGGACAGCAACCAAGTTGTTAGTCTAAAATTTACCACTTGAAAATCTACTTCTTCGCCTCAGAATTCAAGTCCTCCTTTAAACGTATAATTTGAACCAAACGATTTGTAGGAAGACTGATCGAAGAACAGGTATCAGAACCCTACGAAAATTGTTCCAACCTCTGCCTTTCACTTTGTTCATAACACACTTAGGAACCCTTTACAAAACGATTCCGCAAGAAAAGAAAGAAGGACTTCGTCGAGTAATTCTAAAACAAACCAGTTTTCTCACTCCTTAAAATGGCAAAACCAAGCTCACTTAAGAGTTATCAACAGCGAACTTGCTCGACTGAATCAGTTTTGTTCTCTTCGAAGGCAACTGTAATTTTCTGTGAATAACGGTGCACTCTCATTCTATGCTTAACATCGCTGGAGGAACAAGTTTCACAGACAGAAAAGTAACCCGGTGGAAAGTGCCTATACTCACCAACACACCTTGACACTCATCATTCAGAGTAAGTTCTATCACACTAGACTACTGATATTCCTTCCCCTTCTAGAACATACACATTAAAAACGCAGTCTAAACCCTGCAAACAGGGATCTCGTTGTTCAAATTCGATTCCCCGAGTCCAACAGTCTGCGAAGACAGCGCGGCCCTGTAATACTAGGAAAAGATTTCTTCGACATTCGTTTCGATTGTTTCAAAGCACAGAAAACTAAAAGAAACTACACAAATACCTGTTTAGGTTCAACGGACGTGATCAGTTGATCATAAGCACGGTAACGCTTCATCGGGAAAAGTCCTGCGGTTTCGATCAGCGAGACAACGCTATATCTCTTATGCGAGAAACAAAATGGCGGTCATAACAGGAATACGTCTTGTTCTTTCGAGTCTCGTGATACGACCTCAGAACCACGTCATAATCACGAACAACATGGTGGGGTATTCTGCGATAATCAATGACGAATTGAAAATGCGCTTTGCCTCGAGTGATGAATATTCATGTTTGAGCTAATGGTTTCCAACCTGGTTATTCATACATGTCGGAAGACGTCCGGCAAAACCTGCCTTAAGCTGGCCTGTGCATCAGTCACGAAGGCTTGATGTTAGTTTTAAATGTAACGCACGGCGCGAATGAAGGACGGTTGTTGAATTCTTAAACACAGCCCCGAGGCGATTTAAGTTACTCAAGCATCGTCAAGGAACGCTACGCCACACCGCAGAAGCAGCATTAGGTCAAGAGGTTGAATATTGCGAATCGTTAATTTTTTCGTCCACACAGGGCGTTTTTCGTTTGCGAGCGTTCTTTGCTGTTTCTACCATGATGTATTTAAAACACGACTTCTATATCACACTGCCACGAGCTAATAATATCATACACTAAGAACCGATGCATCGCATCGACCTCGCTAGACGACCCCATCCTTACCCCGGAATTTATGCGCTGTGACTTAAATGTTTGTTTCGCTTTCGGTTTATAACGAAACCGTTACTTCTCGAAGAGGAAAGAAACGATTTCTAAGAGTCGAATGCATACGCCAAGTTTCTCTCTAAAGGAATACTTAAGAGGCTGCAAGCCTAACCGGCCAGCCACGAACTAAATACGTTTTGGAATTCAGTAACTAAAAGCACATGATATCCAAGTCGGCTCTCGTGTGGCGTGTTCTATAGTCTGTGCGTTATGCTGTTCATTTTTGACTAAAGTAAAATTACCTTCTCGTCAGGGGATGTTTCCTGATTATCAATAGAGTTTTCTTTCTCCGTTTCACTCACGCGAGTCCCATTACAGCACCTTAGAGAAAAGAAATAACAGAATATTCACACGCGTTTCAGTCGACTGATCACGGAGTCGCCAAGCATGTTGCTTACGAAGTTTGCTCTCTTCCTTGGATGACTAAACGATCGCTGCCATTGGACACGCCAAGAACATCCCAAACATTTCGATCAGCATCATCAGCCATAATCAACAGGAACATAAGACTATGGCCCAAATTGAAACCTTAAATTGGGAAGCATGGCGCACTTCAACAACAAAAGTTACCCTGGTGTTTGGGCCAGTCTCGAGTGCGATTGCATGCTCATTACCTTTACGTGACGTCATGCAAGTTGAGAGAATTTACATGTGAGCCTTCATATGATGTTCTTTAAGCAAAATAGAAACCATTTATTAACTATATAGTTATTCAGTAGTCAACTAAAAGTATTTTATTTTATGTTATGGTACAAGACATATTAAAATTTTTCATAGATTACTGGAAAAATTACGGATAAAAACAAACCATTACGTTAATTTCTTACCATTAGAAGACCACAGGGAGAGTTAGAATTTGAGCCCGCGATAAATCATCTCGTGACCGCTCGCAAGATGGCGACGAAGCCCATCGTTCTATGCTTGTTCCATTTCTTCTTCGTTTCAGCAGGTAAAATATCGACTCGTAATCCTGTTTTTGAGCTGAAATTAAGCATAAGTTATTTTTATTCCATATTCAATACTTTCGAAGTTGTAATCATTTCCCTTGTGGAATAAAACAAAACATAAAATTCATGCTGAGCTTACACATTGTTCATTACCATATCTCGAACTTCATAGTCGTCGCGTTTGATTTCCATTTCACATCGATTGATTCGATCATACATCATATAACAACAGATTTCCTTTGGGACTACGACGTTGTTTTTGATTGGTATGGGGTTATACAGAAATGTTTTCTAAAGTGATCCGCACTGACGTCGCGATATACATGAACATCGTAAGCGAAAAACCTTTCCACAACCTAAATTTCCTTTTCACGTTCGCAGTTACAGGTTTATTAAAGAATGGAGCGGATAGCTTAATCATTAGAGAACCAGGAAAGGTACGTTAATTCATTTACTTTCCTCTTACTGGATGGTAATCATGATTACGTTCGGACATGCGAACTTTTAATTTTGTTAAAACTGTGAACATGTGTACATGATCTAGATCTGAGACGAGCGATAACATCAAAGCAACGCTACGATCGTGCTTTAGCTACGTCGGTGAGACAAATTTCTTGTTTGTCTTTTTCCCCCTTATGAACAGTGCTCCTACTGGGCGCTGAATTAATGTGGGAAGTGTGTATTTTAGAACGGCCCGGAAACATCGACCGTTGTGATATCTAAGAAACTGAAGTTTCACTTGCCGATCTCGCCAACATATTTCTTTATCCTAAGCCATCGAAAATCTTAATCATGTTCTATTAGTTCTATGCTTCCAGTATATTCATTTCCACGTTTCTCTGTTGAAGTGGGCAGTTTTTGATGTTGTATCAGTTGTGAAATATCCACTTTTACAGACATTAATTCCTTTGCAATACACATGTCAAGTGAATGTAAGCTGTGGCCATTCCAGTTGAAGTGCCGGATAAATCCTGTTTACTTTATACAGTTTTATGTGTTAAAGAATAAATGCAATTTCTTCTATGTGAATGATGCCACACAACAAAACCAAATCATTAAGAAACTTGTGTAATGCAATCATGTGTCCAATTTTAATTATATACCTGGATGACATCTTTGAGTATCCAGACTCACACTTTGGTGAGGTTGGTAAGGGTTATTGTGTTTTATTTTGAATGCAGGTCACAAACCTCTCACAGTGCATGTTACCTCACTGGAATATAAATAGTACAGTACCATAATGATTGAAAGGTCAGGGGGGGGAAACCTGAAAAAATGCTGGTGGGTGATGAGAAGTGGGGGGGGGTCAGCCCTGTAATGGAGTAGTATTCCATCCCGCATCTCTACCAATATATTTGTCAAATAAAAATAGCTCAAGTAAACAGTTTTCAAAAACATGCCTTCCCACATTTCTGGATACAGAGATACTTATTGGTTTGTAGACCAAGCAGTATCAAGAGTTCATTTAATTTTCTGTGCTTATTGAAATGTTGCACTTTGAAACATTAAGTAGAACTTAAAATCATTACCGGTTGCACAGATTACATATTATTCATGGTGAAACTCATCAAGAGTTCACAGAGATATTATTCAGAGTTTACTGTCTGTATCCATTTTGATTGCTGGTTCGTGTGTAGACTATGTTTGTGGCATTTTTAATAGGACAGAGAAGGTAACACAGTTCAGCTGTGAAACTTGATACATGTACCTAACTATGTATGCATTTCATTCTCATTAGTCATGCCTCATGTCAAATGTCAATCATGTATTTCTGTGATGTTTTTTTATTTCCCCCTTCCAAGAAGCCAACACTTTCTAACTCCATTTTGGTCCAGGAACAGTTAATAAATTACTATGAATAAAGTTTGATACATTTGATTAGTAACTAGGGAAGATTATGATTGTGTATGCTTGACACTAGGAGTTGGAAAATCATTCTATGTATATGATGGGTAAGGTTTGTCCTAAACATATTGCCTTGTCGCCATAGCTCTCCTCTTAAAGTTTCATTGTGTTAAGATTATTTTTTGACTCCAGGAAAGCAGTGTCCATCAATCCAAAGGAACTTAAAATCCTTCGTTTTTTATTTACCCTGTAATCTCATTAGACTCCCAAAAATTTCTAGGGAACAGTAATTTTGTTAGAATGTGAAAAAATGTGGCCTGATGAAAAATAAGATCAAGTGGCCCACCGCCAAAGCTCTTATCAGATGCCTAAGAAGGAAATGACTAGAATTCATATATTGACTGTGATAACCAATTTTGTTCTGGTCACTCACCATAAGCTAAAAAAGTTATTTTCAAGACTTCTGTCACTTCCCAATAATCAGACCATATGATCAACTACAACTCTTGGGTTCAAACCATTTCTGGATATTACTAGGACTGTTTGTTATATTCTGAGATGGTTCTAGACAAACTTGCACTCAGCTTTTTCTTGGTTTACCTGAAGCTGCTCACATCCTTGTAACAGCATGTACAGGAACTGGAAATTTGAGGAAGGAACTGTGAAAGGCACACAATATTTAATGAGAGTCTCGCCAAAGATCATGACTGCGTTAAAGAGCACAAGAGAAGGGATATAACAGGAGTTTCTAGTTACAGATGGTTCAAGATTTCAAGTACAACAGCGGATTTCCTTTCAATCTTTCTAGAAACTTGAAGATATGTTTTCTGCCACATGGTGCCTTGAGTTCAGTAATGATCACTGGAGAAAGATGATACATTCTTTTAAAAATTTCACACAAAACAATTGGACCCCAATACTCAAACTGGATGGGATGCTAGTCCAATACAGGTTTCTCTTCCACATTTTCCAGCTTTGCCCTTAAATTCACTGGGCTCCTTTTTTCTCCAGCATGGGGAGAGAGAAGGGTCTTTCCCAATAACACAAAACATTGTTGTCAAGAGGGTCACAGTCTCTTGATTGTGCCAAACGCATCATGTTCCTGTGTGATTTTAAGCTGATACCAAGTGTGTCATTTATCAAGAATAATTCACATATCAAGTTCAATGCATAATTATAGTAACTTTACTTTGTTAGTTGCTTGTTTGTTGGTTTTCACACTGAGCTATTTTTAACACTACTTCAGTAGACGTTTTCATTGTAGAACTGGTAAACGAAACGCTAGGCTGACTTGAGAGTTGACTATAACAGTATGAAAAGTTCTTATACAAAGTTTCAACAAAATTGAAAGATCTTAAGCCGTTTATTAATTTTGACATTAATAATTTTTCTCAAGTTAGTTAAGATTTCACAGTCTGTTTTCTTTTTGAAACAAAATGGTTTTATGCAAAACAGTCCCTGCCACACAAACGCAAATCAGAAAACGTTTCAGCTATGTTGCCGTGTACCAGAACTTTGATAAGAAAATTCAAGGGTTGCATGTCACATATGTGGGCAAGATTAGGTCTGGGAATATTAAAATCCGTGATACATTAGACCTCTGAAAAGTTTCCATCTTTGTAGTGACCTTTTTTTTTTTAGGAAAGATTGTATGAGTAATAATCAATTATAGACCGGTGTCAAAAGAAGATTTGTTAGAAGTGTTAGAAGATTCAGTTAAGGTTAATCCGTCTTATTAGGAACACTATTGTTGATGATACTTAACAGAATTTCCGGTTTTGATACTGATTCTTTGTGACTCTAACATTACGAGGGAAGAGAATTGCCACGTGAGGAAAGATTCACGTTGCTGTTGCAACGATCCTCGTCTTACGAGAAATGAGATTTAAATAAATGCTATCGCACGACCGATTTTCTTCTAGTAGGCTTGCTACGACACCGATCTGTGTTTAACAAAGCAGTGTAAAGTTCAGGTTATGATAGATTGATCGTCTGAATGAGAGAAGTCCCGAATAAGGACTACTGTAGGTGACAGCTAGTGACTGATATTTAAAATACCTTATGATGGTCCGCGCTTACGTTGTCGAATCGTCAGTAATTGCGGTGAAAAGTCTTTTTGAGACTTCACGATCAACTGTTACTCGTCGGTTCAAAATATTTACTGTTGTATAATTAATTTACGTCCGAAATGAGCGTTGAAGCGTTGCGTTTACTCTATAACTTCAAGGAGAGATTAAGAAGTGACTTCTTCTCAAAATTGCAACGCATATTCCAGAAAATAGGTCATGAGAAGAAAAGAAAACTTGCACTGTGTAAACTTGATTTAAAACAACTTCCCTTCGTAAGTTTACAAGGAAGTGTATAGCAACTGGAGGGGAGGGACTAGCAACCTCCTACCAGCTTCTATGTCTCTTAATGTGTTAATTATACCTTTTTTTTTTCTCCAGAAGTCAGACTCGTCCAAGTTAATCATCGCTTACACCCCAAACTATGTGACATTTTTGCCAAACGCTGGCACGATTCCCTCAAATGAAATTTCTGATGTTATAGCACTTGCCATGGGATTCTCCGCCACTAAGGTGAGCCAATTCGTTCTGCCATAATGGAGACTGAGTTGTGCCTACACCATAGGCTTTTCATAACTGATATATATGTTTAGATGTATAGTGTACTTACAGTGCTCGTTAAAATCCCTTGATGAATCTCATTTGTCCTCATACCTTTCTTACGAAGATGAATTTGAAAAAATATCCCACGTATAAGATGATAGTAAGGTTGAAATTCCAGTGAGTAGGGGGAATTTTTGCACTTGTCTTGTTTCTTCGACGATGAAGTACACTGTACATGTAAAGGTAAATTAACGCGATCTTTTGGCTCATGACTCGAATATAATACATTTTCCCCAAACTTGGAATCAAGCTTCTTCTTGTTTCCTAAACTGTTTATTGATAGCTTATGGTTTGATTAACGTCCCTAGGAATTGAGCTGGGGTGGTTTGTTAGCAGGTGACGTGTTTCGACGACCCAAAGCTAATGTGTTGATTACGGTTGATGGCGTTACTAAAGGTAATTTGCGAGGCTGTTTGAATGTAGTTTCTCTGCCTCTGTAATAAATACATGTGCGTGAGTTCGTCCTAAAGGAAGACGTCAACTTTAACTTAAAACTTCAAAACAACATGCTAATACTTTTCCTACACACAGGCTTTTGATTTTAATCTTTTCTCTTTTTAATTCCAATTAAATACTGATGTCTACCGTGACGCTGTCTAGTTTGGTAAATCTTATTTTGGCTTTTTAAGTAAAATGTTTTATCATTCTGTTGTTTCATGTCGTGCATTTCAGATGACAATTTTGACCTACCAGGGAGGGCTGCGTCATATCCCGTTGCAGAGGTATTTGAATACAGTAGACTAACCTTATAATTCTGTGGATTTTAGATTTTATGTTTTTACTTGTGGTCTTGATCCGTGGACCTTTATCAGTGCGCTGGCTTTCTTTGTTGGGTTCTGGAAAGTGGGGTCCATATTGCAATTTTTTGCACGCACTTTCCTTCATTCCTATAAGTCGCGCGTGACGCGCACGTAATTTGCGTGTGAATTACGTGTAACATGTTGAATGTACACGCATAATAGGCGCGTGTAATGTTTCCATTCTTGCGGCCAGCACTGTATTTGCTGCCTTGTGTTTTGGATTGAGGATACAAAGCTCCTTAGTTCTTTTCAGGGTTCTTACTGGTCATGGAAAACCTGGAAAGTCATGGAATTTCAAATTTCATTTTCCAGGCCTGGAAAGTCATGAAATTTAGGTGTGGGTCATGGAAAGTCATGGAAAATCAATATGCTCTCTATGAGTGAAAGGCAATAAGACCCAAAGTTGAAAAGTTAACCGACGAATCCAAAAATCAGATTTAATTTCATTAGAAATAAACAGAAGTACGCATTGTGAGAAAGTTTGCAAACAGGTCATGGAATCTTTCAAAAGGTCATGGAAAAAGTCATGGAAAGTTATGGAAAGTTATGGAATTTTAACAGGTCAAAAGTGGACGAACCCTGCTTTTGCAATATTCTGACCAGGATGGAAACTTTCCTATGTGAACACTCTGGCTTGGTTTTTGTGTCGAAACTTGGAGGATCACTTCTTGTTCACCGTGTTAAAATTGAGCTGAAATTTCCCACATGACAAATTAAGTTCGTTCCAAGAGCGGAGGCGGCTCAGTTGTCGGGCGAATGCGAAGAAGCTAGCCACTATAGCTACGCGCCTTATTGAGAACCTAGAAGAGAGACTTAGAGCGGCGAGAAATAAACTTCGCTGTCATCTTGTTGGCCAAAAACATTTGCTTTTATAGAGTAGGAGATAACCTGTTTTTGTCGGACCTAGTAAAGAGATAAGAAGAGTGAACAAAATTTTCATTTCTTAGTCCGAAGGTGTGGTGAGTTTGGCTGGAATTCTGTCCACGTCAAGGGCCACACACGAAAACCTTCCGACGCGCGTGGCAAATGTGTTCGGTGGCAAGTCACTAACGGTTTCAATGTCGGGAAGTGAAGTAGTAAGTGACGCCTTGAGTTGTATGTCTGTTCCTATTCTAACAGGTGTTACAGGGTATGGGGATGGGTGAGTGGTGAGGAACAGGACCAGGTGCTACAGAGTACGGGGTGTTAGGGGGGTGGTAGGAAACATGACCAGGTGCTACAGAGTACGGGGTGTTAGGGGGGTGGTAGGAAACATGACCAGGTGTTACAGAGTACGGGGTGTTAGGGGGGTGGTAGGAAACGTGACTAGGTGCTATGGGATATGGTGTGTCAGGGGAGGGGTAAGGAACATGACCAGGTGCTACGGGGTATGGTGTGTCAGGGGAGGGGGTAGTAACATGATTTGGTGCTACAGGGTATTGGGTGTCAGGGGAGGGGTAAGGAACATGACCAGGTGCTACAGGGTATTGGGTGTCAGGGGAGGGGTAAGGAACACGACCAGGTGCTACAGTGTATTGGGTGTCAGGGGAGGGGTAAGGAACATGACCAGGTGCTACAGG